ATTCCTGACCTATTTGCTTAAAAAAGCTTTCATCAGATGGCCAGAGATCAGTATTTTTCTCTTGCCATCAGGTGGTGCTGTTACCTTTTGTATGGGAACCTCGCAAGAGGCTCCAGGACCCACTGCACTGAATTAACACAGCACATAGAACATTGTCACTCAAAGACAGTATGTAGTTACTCCAGGCCTCAGAAAAACTAGTAACAAAAGAATTCACATCCTCCTCCTAGGATTGTTGGAGGGAATAAATCTGTGTGAGCACTTGGCTAGTCCAGTCCTACCCATCTCTGAACAGAAATCCATGCAGGGAATGGTGTAGGAACGTGGGCTTAGGGGACACTCAGAACTACTTAAAAAACTGGCTCTTACAGGAGGGAATCATGTAGAAGCACTGGCTGTGAGCGGGAGTTCACAGTTACTGCAATTCCTGTGACCTTCAGTAGAGGTTTACTGCAGTAGCACCAGCTATGGGAAGCTTTTAGCCACTTTGCTCTAGGCACAACTGCAAATTCAAAAATCCTTTCCACTCCTTCCTGTCTGCCCTTCTTCATTTTAACCCATGGACAAGCCCTTTGGGCAGGTACCTGTTTGTGAAGATTGAGGCTATCTATTTCAGAGAGAACCCATCCAACGCTTCCATCCCCACCACAAACCAGAATCCGGAAAGTGTCAAACTTCTGGAATAAACGTAAACTACAGAGGGAAAAAAGGAAGAAAAAATGTGTTATTAATGAAACAGGAGTGACTAGCTATTTCAGTCTAGGTTACATACCTGGTTGGGTAGCTTTAAGTAGGCTCTGGTTTGGCAATGAACACAGGCCTTTGTCTGATTCTAGGTGACTTTGAACTCTTCATTGTAAAAGGAAATTATAAATACAGGTATGAGTAATTTACACACCTAATCACTGAAGAGACTAGAAAAATCCATACCAGGACATTCCACTTCTGAACAGGTGCATTTTAGTCTCAGAAAAGGAAACAAATATTTGGCAGCAAATTATCCACAGGATTATGTTTTTGAAAACTGTTGGTGTGCAGTATAAATCTATCTGTCATGAAACAAAACTCTGAAGTCAACATGTGCAGTATAAATCTATCTGTCATGAAACAAGACACTGAAGTCAACCCCTCCACTCCCAAAGCCATGCCAATTAAAGCAAGACTTCCGGAGGGGGGGATTCTGTGGAGCCATTTAGCATGCAGATGCATGCTGTAAAAGGCTATTTAAGCCTCACAGTAGTCCTTCTGTTGTAAACAGATGCTTTCCTACCTTGTCTGCTCTGTAAGCAGACAAACCACTCACCAAGATGTGTGAATTTCCCCATTCATTGGGGCAAACTGAACCCTGTCCAGACTTGAAAGTAGATTTTCCTTTATAGCTGCTAAAACCATGGTTCCTGCTGTAAAATGTCAAAGCTATTGCGCCTCACTAAACAGGCTTTGCTACAGCATTATATGAAAATCACAGTCACCTGAGAACTGTAATTCTTTAAGCAATCACCAACACTGAAAAATGACTATCATAAACAAGGATGTCATGTTGTGTGCAGTTTGGTTCACATGAATGTGAAACAGCTTCATTATTATGGAGTGGCCTTTCTACCACCCCATCATTTATTTAGTTGGCTTTTCTTTTTAACAAAAAAGTCTACTTTGGAAACGGCCCATTGGGAAAACAAACAATACCACTTTTCACCTTCTCATTCTTAAAAGCCATTTTCCTTTGTATCATGGGTCCAAATGTTCAGGCAGAGAGAGGAAATAAATAGTATCGTTTAATGTCAAAACCTGTAACAAATTATCAAATACAACTTTTCCTTCAGTCAAGATGCTAGTTTTTAAGGTTCAGTGGACACATCTACACATTCATTAATGCGCAGTAGTTATTGCACATTTAGTTTAGTACTTGCTTAATGAGTTTAGTACTTGCTATAGTTACTGTGCAGTAGCGCTGGCGCATGGTTTTTTCATGACAGATACTGTGCAGAAGCCTAATAACACTGTGCAGTAGCTTAATAGCATGTTTTTGACCGGCATGTTACTGTGCAGTGTTATTAGGTTACTGCGCAGTAAGCATCTCATGTAGATGTGCCTAGTATCTTACAATCTGCTACAGAGAGGAACAAATGTCTATGGCAGCTCTAATAGGCGACTATATTTTTAAATGGTCACTGGTCCAGGACTGGTGATCCCAGGACATAGAGTTGGATGGTTTGAAATCCATGCTTTTATTCACACGTTTGGAGAAAAGAAAAAAAAGAGACACTTGTGTTATGCTCCTTGCATTTAATGGCATCTGTCCATGCAAGAATTGCTCACATATTTGAGGTGATAGGAGCAGTCCTACATAAACTGTTTATGGACTGATGTGGAGGTCTAAGTTGATTTCACAGTTGCATAAATACAGTACAGGACCTTATTATATGGCTCTCCTTTATATTTATAGCTATTTCTCTATTGAAAGATCCAAGAGCCATCTATGATATTCTGTTTTTTGCCACCATAAAAGCGGTAGCTGCACTTATGTTGAAATGCCTGTTATAAGCCTATGTTCACAACTTGCTGAAAGATTCTCTTTTGGGACTGAAACTTTCCATCTTTGGTATCGTCTCAGAAGAGAAATTCTGGAATCACAGGAAAACCCCTCAGCTGTTTTGCAGAGTAGAAAGTACCAACTTTTTCATCATTAAGATTTTTTTGGGAAACTCCCTCCAAATTCTGGATGTTCACAGTCCTCCATAAGAAGCAGGACCCTTGCTAGACTTCGGGGTAGGATGGGACAGAGATTTAAAATCAAAGACTCAACCATGCTGTGTCACTGATATCTACAAGGAGTTTGCTCAGCCAGAAAGCGTCTCCCTACCCAAGGTGAGGTCCTCCATTCATAAGGTCAAAAACTTGTGCCGGATTCAGCAGCTGTTTGAATCTTCGAAGGAACTTTACACCCTGGTTGTCTCCACTTTTTGAGTTGACAAAGACCAGCAAGGGGCTTGTGCAGGAGGGGGGACAAGTGGCTTTCCAGAATCCTAAGTGAGGGGGAAAGAATGCACAAGAGAAAACTCTACTATGGGTAAGGCAAAGACAGACAAATGATTTCCCACCCAACAGGCACAGCGATGAAGAAGTGAATGCTTTCCCTGACATACGCATGGTAAGTGCCAAATGAGCACAGCACAAAATCCAGCAGGAACTGCTTCCTATACCTCCTGGTGCCAAATGTCAGTTACCAAGTAACCACCTGCTAGAATTTCCAGCTTTCCCACCTCCCCAAATTATTTCTGCAACGCACTTACTCAGTCTGAGCAAAACCAGGTGCAGTGTACCAAATCTTTCAGGGCAAAAGAAAATCAATCCAATGCAACACAAAATGGAACACCCAAGGAACACACTAATGATTGGCTTATTCATTGTCATATTTCAACAAAAACCTCCATGTCAGGATTTAATTGATTTGGAAGCAGAATTTACTGCAGGGCCTTGAATTAAAGAGATTTAGGATATGGGCACAAAAGCAGTTACTGCAAGGAAACCTAAGATGAGAATTTAGTGCATACCAACTACTGCATAGTAACTACCCAAGTGCATGTTCTTACTTTATAGTAAATATAAGGTAGTTTTTTACTGGAATTAGGGCAAGCTACCTGATATTTACCACAGGGTAACATGCACACATAAGGGCAGTTACTGAGGAATATCTAACACATTGAAAATTCACACCTTTACTCAGAACTGTCCAACTCAGGCTGTACATGACCTGCAAGGGGTTAATTTGTGGCTTGTGGGTTCCTGCCTGGGTACCACTCCCCACCACCATTTCCTGGGCTCCATCGGCATCTTTTGGCTTCTGTTTTCTGCTCCCACCCCTAGGGGCACGGTGACCCACAGGTCCCAGGGAGTCCATGGCTTAGGGCGTGAGGGCTGGGGCAGAGTGGCAGGCACCCATGCAGCAAAGTGCAGTGGAGGATCTGAGTGTGATGACACAAAAGGGGTCTGCACAATGTGCAGCCCCTTTCTGCTGCAAAGCTGGACAGCCCTCCCATAGCTTACCTCAACTTAGCTCAGGGGTAGGCAAAATACGGCCCGTGGGCTGGGGGCCATTCTATCCAGCCCGCGGGCCCCCTAAAAAATTTAGAAAATTAGTATCTATCTGCCCTTGGTTCCTGTCAAAAATGACAGGAACCAAGGGCTGTAGGACCCAGCGGAAGCCCGGCGGGCTCCCACAACAGTAGGGCCCGCCCGTCCCACTCCCACACCCAGGGCTTCTGGCCTGGGAGCGCATGGCTGCTCCGCCCTGGAAGCTCAGGTAAGGGGGAAGGGGAGGACCCCGGGCAGGGAAGGAGCCCAGGGAAAAGTGGCCTGGGAAAAAGCTGAGTGCAGGGGGAAGGGACGGCGGTGCATGGGAAGTGGTGCAGCAGCGGGAAGCGGCCCCTCGCCCGCCCCATGACTGGCAT